GTGGATGATCCATGTTTCACTACTCTTTCTCATCGCATTTGGTGCGGGTGGAATTAAGAGTTGTGTGAATGTTATGGGAGCCCAACAGTTCCATCCTGAGGAGCACAAAGATCTAATCACGAGGTATTACACCTACTTCTATGCTTCTATCAATCTTGGCTCTATTGTTGGTGGTATTGTGACTCCGATTTTGGTGGAATCGGTCTCTTTCACTGCAAGCTTTTCCTTCCCTCTCGTTGCCTTCATCATAGCAACGATTGTCTTCGTTGTGGGTAACGTGATGGGTCGTTATGTGAAGCCGAAGCCTCAGGGATCCGCTGTATTAGAGATCCTTAAGGTCATCTTCTTTTCTCTTACGAGGTGTTCTCTGGAAAAGAACAAGGAGTCGAACGGTGGTCGTTTCAAGGATGGTTTTATCGAGGATGCAAAGGCACTGTTCAGACTGGTGCCTTTATTTTCCCTCATTATACCGTTTGTGATGGCCTACAATAACATGACGACTGCTTTTCTAACTCAGGGTAAAAAGATGGACACGAGCCTTTTCGGGTGGGATATGCCGGCTCAGATGATGCAAAACGTGGATCCTATTGCTGTGGTTTTGACCAGCGTGTTGGTTGATACCGTATTGTTCCCTCTTTTGAAGAAGTATAATATGATGCCGTCAGTTCTGGTTCGTTTTTGTATCGGTTCGTTATGTGGTGCGGCGTCCCTACTCGTGGCTCTCGGTGTGGAGTACATGGTTATGAGCAAGGCTGTGTTCTCTGTCTCCATTTGGTGGCAGATCCCGCAGTTCTGGTTGATTGCTGCTGGTGAGATCTTCCTGATATCCACTTCTTACGAGGTTGCATTCACGTACTCTCCGGGAGCGCTGAAAGCAGTTGCTTCTGCGTTCAACCTTTGTTTCTTTTCCATCTCGAATGTTCTCTCGGCGGTCCTTTTCCAAGTGTGTTCCGAGTGGCTTCCAAACTTTGATATTAAGAATCCCACAGAAGAGGCCGTTAGCGGTGCTCACTATGATTATTATTATATGGTTTTGGTAGCCCTGTGTATTTTCGGTGCAGTTGGCGCGGTATCGATGATCCCGTACTTCAATAGGGTCGCCGCGAAGAATGCGGCCAGGAAGGCGGAGGCTGAGTTAGAGAATGTTGTGAAGAAGGATGAGGTCGATGTATAATGTGAGGTGCCTGTTGTTTCAATTCTGTCACATCATGATTACTCCTGTT